TTGATTATTTTTGGTCCTTTGTTTTAGACTCAATTTGTTATTTTTTTCTCTCTCTCCTTTCTTATAACTCTTCTGATTAAAATTGCCTTGACTCAGTGGATTAATTTAGAGTGTACCATTGTCTTTGCAATATTCAGTCTTTCATATTATTCTTCCATTTAATTAGATTTTCTATAATTTTCTTTGTAATACTTTCTAGTTGAGTTCTGTCAAATCTTTTGTTAGAGTTAATCTTAGGTTTTGGTAATTTTTGATGCTCTCGTAGTATATGATGCCACTTTAAATTTTTTTTGCTGATATTTGGAAACGAGATTGATGTTTGTATGTCAACCTTATAAACAGTGATTTGTTGAATTCATTTTTAAACAATCTTTTGAGATAATATATATGAGAGGGGACCCCCAAAACCCATAATTTATTTATTAAAAAACCGTATGCTTATTCTTATATGTTTAAACTTCAGTCACCTTTAATGTTTGATGCAATACACATGTCAAGATGCTTTTTTGTACTGCTCAAAATAGTTTTTGAACTAGCCAATTTTGATTTTTTAGTATTTCTGCCATTTTTTTGTTTCACCTTTTCCACATGGCAAAACATTTTCCTTTGAGGACTTTTTTCATCCAGGGAAACAAAAAAAAGTTGCTTGGGGTAAGATCAGGTAAATAGGAAAGGTAGGGCATGGGGGTCATGCTGTTTTTGGTCAAAAATCGCTGAATACTCAACACAGTGTGGGCAGGTTCAATTGTAAATTTCCCATCATGAAATGGGCAAACATGTTGAAAGAATCTAAAAAAGAAAATTCACTGAGCCAAGCATAGCCTCTCACAACAACACTAGCTGGTACACTGATGCCCATGGGTTCCTAGAACACTTACCTATTGGAGGAAACCTGTACTACAAGGAGTCTGCCCTCCAAAAGATTATTCTGGGTTTTTTGGGGTCCCCCTTGTATGTATAATAAATTGTAACCATTTAAAGTGTGTAATTTGGTGAGTTGTGACAGATATGTATAAAATTTTTACCACAATCAAAAGAGAATTTCTGTTACCCTGTAGATTTTCCTAGTTTTTTTTTCATACAGTCCACCCCTCCTCACATATCTATATAAGCTCATATAGGATATACAGTCATGTGCCACATGACTATGCTTCAGTCAACAATAGATCACTTTCATCACATTTGTCCCATAAGTTTATAATGACAACCATGTAGCTTACCATCTAGGTTTGTGTTAGTATACTCTATGATGTTTGAAAATGACAGATTGCCTAATGACTCACTTCCCAGATTGCAAACCTGTCATTAAGCATTGCATCGCTGTAGTTCTTTATGTCTGGCACATCTTTTGCTCAGCATGGTGATTTTGAGATTTATTCATATTATTGTGTTTATTGTTTGGTATGTCTTTTAGTAGTTTTTAAAATGCTGGGTAGTATTCTCTTGGATTTATATATCGCTGTTGTTTATCATTAACTTCTTAATGTCCACTTGGATTTTTTAAAGCTTTTGATTATTCGGAATAAAGCTGCTGTGAGGATTTGTATTCAGGTCTTTCTGTGAACATCTATTTTCATTTTTGTGTTTGTTTGTTTTGGCATTTTAGCTTTGGAATAGCTGAAGTTGTTTGGTGAATGTTTATTTTTATATGAAAATGCCAAGCAATTTCCTGAAGTGCATGTACCTTTTTTATATTCCTTCCAGTAGTATTTAAATATTCTAATTGTCTCACAGATTCTCCAACACATAGTATAGACAAGGTTAATTTTAACCATTCTAATATGTATGTCGTGGTATCACATATTCATATGTTTTGTGAAGATTTTTTTCATTTTAAAATTGAGATATATTTCTTATTATTGGGTTGTAGGAATTCTTTTTATGTTTTGGGCAAGCTATTTGACAGAGTCTGTGTCATTATAAGTTGTAAATTTTGAAAAGATTCAACTTATCCATTTATTTTATTGGGTTTTGGTTTTTTATTTTGTTCAGTAAATCTGTGCCTCTTCAGAGATTACAATATTTTTCTCCTATGTTTTCCAGAATCTCTAGAATTTTAGCATTTGGGTCTAAATTCTATTTTAAGTTAAATTTTGTGTATTGTTTGAGGTAAGGGTTCACATTCACTTCTATTTCCATTAAGATATTCAGTTCCAGCAACATTTGTTGAAATTATTTTTTTCCCACTGCATTGCTTTGGAGTCTTTTTCATAAATCAATGGACCACAGATATATGGGACTATATGTAGACTCTATTCTGTTTCATTGATTTATGTGTCTGTGCTTCTACCAATGGCACACTGATTTTATTACTGTAGTTTTAGACTAAATGTTGAAATTGTATGATATAAGTATTCCAATTTTGTTCTTCTTTTTAAAAGTGATACTGACTGTTTTTGGTCATTTGTGTTTGTATGTAAATTTTAGAGTCATTCAGTTAATTTCCTATTTAAGAAAGTCCACTGAAATCTTGTTTGGGATTGTGTAGAATCTATGTATCAATATAGGGATAATTGACATCTTAATATTATGTCTTTCAATCCATAAACATGGTATATCTACCCATTTATTTAGGACTTCTTTGTTTTTTATCAGTAATCTTTTTTTTTGAGTTGGAGTCTTACTCTGTCGCCCATACTGGAGTGCAGTGGCCACTCCCGGCCACCGCAGCCTTGACCTGCTGGGCTCCGGCGATCCTTCCACCTCAGCCTTCCAAGTTGCTGGAACTACAGGCATGCGTTACCACGCCCAGCTAATTTTTTTTGATTTATTGTAGAGATGAGGTCTCGCCAATTTATCAGTAATCTTTTATAGTTTTCAGATCTTGTTCATAACTTGATAAATGTACCTCTTAGTATTTTATGTGCTTGCTTATATGCTATTGTAAAAATCATTGTATTTTCAAATTATTTTTTTCAGTTTGTTCATTGCTAGCTTATAGAAATACTATTAGAATTATTTATATTTACCCTTTGTCCTGGAACTTTGCTAGACTTAATTATTTGTTTAAGAAGGTTAGCTGGGCATGGTGACTCACGCCTGTAATCACAGCACTTTGGGAGACGGAGGCTTCGAGAACAACCTAAGCAATGTGGCAAGACCTTGTCTCTACAATAAATCACAAAATTAGCTGTGCAGGGTGGTGCATGCCTGTAGTTCCAGCTACTTTTAAGGCTGAGGCAGAAGGATATCCTGAGCCCAGCAGGTCAAGGCTGCGGTGGCCGTGAGCATGCCACTGCACTCTAGCCTAGGCGACAGAGTGAAACTCTGACTCAAACAAAACAAAACAAAACAAATGTTTTGGGTGGATTCTTTAGTATTTTGTACTTACTTTATCCTTACAAGATATCTTCCTCTTCAAACTTATGCCTTTTCTTTCTTTCACTGGTCTTATTGCCAAGACTGGGACCTCTAAAATAATGGGTACATAGGTGGTGAGAGCAGAGCCCTTGCCTTGCTCCCAGTCTTAGGGAAAATCACTCAGTCTTTAATCATTAATTATAATGTATTTTTCATAAACACTTTTTGCTAAATAAAGGAATTTTCCTTCTATTCTTAGTTTGCTAAGCATCTTTGGTCATGATTGGATGTTGAGTTTAGTCAGTTTTTTGAGGATCTATTGTCATGAGCATGTTTTTTTCCCCCCTCTTTTATTTTGTTAGTATGGTGTATTACATTTTTTTTCTACCAGTGTTAAACCAACTTTACTTTCCTGGTAAACCTCGCATATAATAATTTATGTGTATTATCCTTTTTATATATTATTGTATTCAATTTGTTTTTAAAAAGTTTTGATTTTATTTGCTGGCTTTAATATTTTGCTAATGCTTTTGCATCTATGTCATGAGATTTATTTAACTGCAGTTATGTTTTGTTATCAGTTATATTGGCCTTCTAGAATGAATTCTCTTCTATTTTCCAAAAAAGTTTATATAGGATTGATTTTATTTCTTTAGATGTTTGGTGGAATTCACCAGTTAAGTATCTGGGCTTGTATTTTCTTGTTAGATGATTAATTACTAAATTCAATTTTTCTAATAGATATAGAGCTATTGAGATTTTTTATCTAATCTTGTTAGATTTGGTCATCTGTGTCTTTTAAATAGTTGTTTCATTTTATCTTAGTTGTTGAAATTATTGGCATAAAGTTTTTCTTAATAATGTGTAATCGTTCCTCTAATTGTTCTTAGAATTTAGAGTGATGTCCTCTCTTTCACATCTAATATTGATAATTTTTGTCTTCTGTCTCTCTTTTATTTTTCTTCATTGATGCTTATCAATTTTATTGATCTTTTCAAAGAACCAGCTTTTTAAAAATTTTTAAATTTTGTCTTATCTGATTTATTTATTTCTGCTCTTACCTTGACTATTTTTTTGATTCTAGTTACTTGGGTGAATATGTATCTATGAGAAGTTAAGGATGTCCTGATCCTTACCTTTAGATGGAAAATAGAACAGTATACAGTAGTAGGGCTTTAATACCCTGTGTTTCTGCAGTTTTTACTTCTGTCATTTACTTTGTGCTGTATTTTAAATAATTACCTATAATTGCTTTCTCTCAACTGTGAGATCTTTGAAAGACAGTCTTATGAATATTTCCATATTATGTTCATGGAGCCAATACATTTTTGACTTAATATTATAAAGCTAATGACAAAAAATCTACACACATTCTGAAATCTACTTAGTATATTATATCTTATTATATCTCATAGGGGCATGGCCAGCAGTTTTTGAATTATGTGTATATTAGCATTGGATGAGTATGTTTATTTGCTATTATAAATTATAGATTTGAGAAGAAAACACTTGTAAAATCCAATGAAATTTCTTCCTTTAAGGCTATATAGAAAAATCCATCTGTGGAATTTGGACATTCTGTTTATTTCAAATCAGACTTAGTTTTGAATATTGGTTTGTCTACCCAGAAGAATATATGTTTCTCTAATAAATCTTTTACTCAAGATAGTAACTCCTAAATGTTTTCCCTTTGCTTTAAGCTATTTCCGTGATAGAAGAAATGTTGCTATCTCAACTGGAAAATCAGCAGCATGGCAAAGTGAGTCTATGTGTTTAAAGTCTTTGTAAATTAGCTTGCATTCATTTTGTAGCCTTAAATTTGTTAAAGTGTGATCAAGAAGGCAGCCCACCTGTGGTGTTGGAAATAACTGCCTGCCAGTGTTCATAGTACTTCGGATACTTTTAAAGGTGAGTGAATAAAAGCCAGTAATATATACTCAGATTCTTGAAAATTTATACATGCTAATGTAAAAAAAGTGTTTTTTTAAAAAAAATATAGACTTCATTTATCATTAGCCACAGTTAAAGGCATTTAACTAAAATGGCTTCTGGCAGCTGAACTACAGGACAAAGCTATATGGAAAGTGATTTTGCCATGGTAACAGGAGAGGGCTGACATTGTTGCTTTGGTAAATTGAACATTGACAGAGGTGTTTCTTTCTTTTTGACAATTCTGCTTATATAAGTTCAGGAACATTCTTTTTGACAATAAGATGTCAAGCACTTAGCTACTCAACCTTTCAGAATTTATTTGCCATCGCAAAAATGCGAGTATTGAGAATCCTTTTTGTGTAGGTCAGTGTAATTCAAAGATGGTGGAATTTATTTATAGGTGTGTTATCAGCTATGATATTAGAGCCTATTAGCTATGATATTACATTAATTCTGAAAGTTTGAGTGATATCTAGCTGTTATATTAGTGAACATTTTATAATTGTTTATTGTAAATTATCATAAGTTAAGCTTGATTTTCTGCCTTTATTTAGGAATTATCAGTATAAATAGCACCATGACAATTTCCGTTGAGTGTGGGTAATATACTTGGTTGGACTGAGGTGCATCTTAAATGTTAGCAGGCAAATATGTGACAGGTAACAATTTAAGGAACAGTGAGTCGTGCGTTATGTTTGTGAAGTGAGGAATACAGTATTATATGAAGAAGACCATAGAGAGAATTGGTTTTGGGTAAGAATTATAAGCATAATTTTGGACTCATAGAGCAAAGCTTAAGTTGTGATATTGCCACAAAATAATTAAATGCATGCTTTTTTTTGCCTTTTATTTAAACAATATTTTGCATTATTCATGTCTTTTCATTCTCATCCTATAATTCCCCAAAAGATTCAAATGAGGAGAATTCATCTTCCATATTTCCTTATGGAGAGACCTTTCTCTTGCAGAGACTAGAAAATTCTAAGGTTAGTTCCATGCATTTTAATTTTTTCCATAATCAATTATTTGCTTTTCTGCTTATATGTGCCTCTTCATCTTCCTCTAAGCTATTTGAAAAATGCATTATATTGAAGAATGAAATTTTCAATGAGTAAAATTTTTGTTCAATAATATTATGGTAAATCTTTATCTTTAAATATACATCATAAAACACATTTTCATTTTGATTTCAGAAAAACAGGACAGTGAATTTTTAAAAATTTGTCACAAGGTACAGTTAATTTAAAAAAACAAAAGACAAAAAACAGCTGTAAAACACAAAAACTCTAGATTTTGCTTCTCCTTGTATCCAATTTCAGACTTCCTAAGTACATAGACTTCTAGTCATTTAGGTATTTTAAATATTTAGTTTATCACTTAGTTTTTCCTCTCCAGTATTTGTGTTCTTTTGCTATTTTATTTCTTGGTCTTGTAAAAGATAACTTGGAAGAAAAAAATAAAACAGAGGCGTAAAAGCACATAAATTTTGTTCTTGATTAGCAGTTTATTTTTTCTTAGAATTGGTGATTTATTAGTAATCTAGATAAAATGGTGAAAAAGACCTTAAGAGGCTGTGTAAAATAGTCTCCCTAATTAAATTTTTTTTCCTGAAAATTGATCTAAGCAATTAGATATTTGTTCAGTAAAACCAAATGCAAGATATTATAGAACTTTGTAGAATGTTGCTACATATTATACTCACAAAAAAATTACAAAACAATTTTTTTTTAATAGAAGAGATCTATAAAGAATGAATTTTGGACACATGAAGAAACACTGAAAGGGGAAACAACTACTGGAGGGAACTCTTTTATCATCAAATCAAGGTATGAGGTCTTGATTGATAATTCTTTAGAATAAAATGTTATAAAATATTGACTTATCATTTTTGCTATAATATCATATTCCTAAGAAAATAGTTTATATTGGTGAGTTAATATCTTTTCTTTCTAAATATTTTCATGGCACTCATTTTAATAATTAAATTAGAGTATATAAATCAAGTGAATAGTTATATTCTATGGCAGATTAGTTTTGTATTCCTAGGTAAAACCATTCTCCCAACCTCAAAGTAACAAATATGTGGTAACCATGACTGCATATTAAAGATAAAAAGTTATGTTCATATAGAGGAGAAAGGGAGCAATGTAGAACATCACTATGTGAGTTGCACAATTTTCCAAATGTAATGTATTCTTTTTATTAGTGGTTTAGTGCTGACAAGAGGCATGACAGTTATCCGTTCTTTTGGATCACACATGCAATTAGACAGAATTTGTAGGCACTAACTTGAATTTTTTTTTCCTCAGCTTTGTTGGAACTTAACATCTGACATTCATCTTATTTTCTACTTACATTTCATTTTCCAAGGCTAATAGTGTTGAAAGTTTTTTCAATTAAAGCTAAGTAATTTAATATTTTTGGTAAACATTTGATATGAATTTAATATAATCCAAAATGTGAAAGGGCTAGTCTAACTTATACTTTTTATTTTATTTTATTTTTTTGAGTCAGAGTCTTACTCTGTGACCCAGGTTGGAGTGCAGTGGTACGCTTATGGCCACCCCAGGGTTGACCTGCTGGGCTCAAGCTTTTTTTTTTTGAGTCAGAGTCTTACTCTGTCACCCAGGCTGTAATGCAATGGCACACTCATGGCCACTGCAGCCTCAACCTGCTGGGCTCAGGCGATCCTACTGCTTCAGCCTTCCAAGTTGCTGGAACTACAGGTCGCCACCACAGCTGACTAATTTTTTTAATTTATTGTAGAGATGAGGTCTTGCCACGTTACCCAGGCTGTTCTTGAGCCCCTGGTTTCAAGCAATCCTGTCACTCCTGCCTCTCAAAGTGCTGGGTGTATAGGCATGAGCCATCATGCCCGGCCTAGCCTAGCTTATTCTTTAAAAAATAAATAGTTTTTATTTTGTTTATTTATTTATTTATTTGAGTTGGAGTCTCACTCTGTCGCCCAGACTGGAGTGCAGTGGCATCATGCCCGGCCTAGCCTAGCTTATTCTTTAAAAAATAAATAGTTTTTAATTAATTAATTAATTAATTAATTTGAGTTGGAGTCTCACTCTGTCACCCAGACTGGAATGCAGTGGCCGCTCCTGGCCACGCAGCCTCGACCTGCTGGGCTCCAGCGATCCTTCCGCCTCAGCCTTCCAAGTAGCCGGAATTACAGGCACGCGCTACCACGCCCGGCTGATTTTTTTATTTATTGTAGAGATGAGGTCTCACTGCCCAGGTGGGTCTTGAACCCGCGGGCTCAGGCAATCCACGCACCTCAAACTCCCAAAGGCGCGGGATTACAGGCTGAGCCACCGAACCCGGCAATAAATAGTTTTTAAAACACTGTATCCAGAAGGATGTAATTTGACCCCAGGCATATCTTTTTCATTGATTAGCAAACTAATCCTTGTAATGAGTTTTATTTTTTATGAATGACCAAGTGAATCTGTTATGTCATTTGTAGAAATATGCCTAGCTATGAGTACGTTCTAGTAAATAGTAGATGCAGTTTTTACCTTTGGAATGTACTCTGACTCTTTCTTGTTTTCTAGCTAGCAATGTGCTGCAATATACTTCCTTATTTGTTTTGTAGAATAATATTTATGCTCTCAGCAGTCAGACATACTCTCCATTTTATTACATTATAGGAGACATGGAGTCCTTGGAGTCTGTTAGAGGAGAGCAGGTAGAGGGCAAGAAGTTGGAGATAAGATCTCCACACTGATGGGTTAGTGGTTTATCATGTTGCCAAGAGAACAGAGGTTGCACTGGCCAGTACATTGTATTATTGAAGATATTTAAATTGTGATGCAAAGAATATAGTCAATCTCTGTCTTTACCACCTGCTCCCATCTCTTCAAAATAAACGTGATCATAGTAAATTATACGTCAGAAAAATGTTTAGTAGTATTCTAGTATGTCATAGGATAATACAAGATGTCTACTTACTTTCTGTGGAAGAATTTTAAAAATTATCAGGTAGGCTAATTGATCTCTAAGATTTTTCTGGCCTTAAAAAATTTCTCCTATCTGTTATATGCTATATAAATTTTTAAAAAATCACTGATGTCTTAAATCAGACATTGCACTGTGAAATGTTGACACCATTTTTTTTCATTTAGCATATATGATAACAAGAAGGAGGGAGTAAGTGAAGATAAAGTGGAAGATATTTGGATACCTCGAGAGGACAAAAACAGTACTCTGATAGACCCTCCTTCTGAATCCGAATACTCAACAGTAGAAGAATGCTTTCAGAGTTTAAGAAGAAAAAATTCAAAGGCATCTAAATCTAGGACTCAAAAAGCATTGAATTTGGACCCTGCTAACAGGCACAGTTATCCATTAAGCTCAACGAGTGGAAATGCTGATTCAGCAGTCACTTCCTCGAATGCAATATCTCCCTATGCCTGTTTTTATGGATCGTCTGCAAAGAAAGTTAAATCAGGATGGCTAGACAAGCTCTCTCCTCAAGGGTATGTATATGTTCATTTATTTTGTAAGTGGCATATTTTTGAAAATTAAGTTTATTTCTTTTTTTGTTATAAAGATATGGAGTACAAATCAGGGTTAGGTATATAAACATTGATCATGCAGGTACCCTTGTTGATGAGGTATGCCCCTTCCGCCCCAGCAGTTTCCCTCAACTGCCAATTCCACCCCCTCTCCCCTGACAGTTTTCCACTACTGTCAATCCCTTTCTTATAGTATCATAATTGTTCAAGTTCCGCTTATGAGTGAGAACATATGGTACTCTGAAGTTTATCTATTTCTAAACCTACCTGCTTGCTGCTGCCATCACCACCTCCCCCCCCGCCAACAGATACAGTTTTTAGGGACTTTTAGTCCACTTTTGCTGATGCTCATCTTTAGACTTAAGGAGAGATATGTGCAGTACAATGCTGCATTATGGTTCTGAATAGCAAATTAAACTAGAAAGTTATGACCTCACTTCTTGGTTCTTATTGTTAGTTCTTATTGTTAGATCCTTATTCAGTTCTTATTGTTAGTTTCTATCTTCACACCAAAAGGCACTGTCCTGTGTTCTAATATGTAGCAAAGAAAAACAACACAGACTGAGTTGCTATTACTCAGCTCACACTATCTGCCTTTTGCTCATATCATAACAGTGTTCTATTTGAGAATACAAGGGCTATTGTAGTTAGGGAAAAGTACATCATTGTTAGATTTAGGTCTTCACTGTTATTGATATATTGTTTTGATTTTTGTATGTTGCACAGAAGGACAGAATCCCTTGAACATTACACTTTTAAAACAGATTTATCATTTCAGATGTTTGCAAAGAAACTTATGTCCCTTAAGCATTTTACAGACCTGAGAAATCTCTGGGAAGGGATTATGTTTAATTAGAATTGTTTTCTGGCTTTCTGATATTTGGATGTCTTTTTGAATTATTTACTTGAAATGTTTCTCATGAATTATTATTTTGGGATTAAGCCTCTCACATTCAAGTAGCTAATGTTATGAATCTCTGCAATGTGTTGGTTTCTGAAAATGTGCCTCATTATTTCTAGACAACCTTGGTTTGATCTAAAATAATTTCACTAGCAAAAAAGATTACCAGAAGCAGCATCAAATGACTAGTGAGGGCAGAAATTACATTTCTTAAGAAAGCAGAAACACTTCAAAATTTTTATAATTGGTAATTACATGTTAATACTTTATATATTTGCATCCTTTTAGGAAATTGATTTTGACTAAATTGAAGCAGGCTACTTCTTAATATCAGTTATTTCATGTCACTTCTTTCTGGTTACATTATGGTTGACAAAATTGTCTGCTGTGTGTTTTGTTTATTTTTATCAGTCATAAATATTATTGGCAAATGCATATTCATATACTGAAAATGTGAATCGGCACTCGAGTCTCCACACTGATAGCATGAAACAATGAGCCTGAATATTCTCGAATCTTTCATTTCTATAAAGATTAAGTATTTAGGGAGACCCAAGCACTCTCTCAAAGTATCACAGGAAGAATTAATACCTCCTGGGTAGAGCCCCAGCTGCTATAGTTTCCTGTGTGGTCTCTGATGACATGTCACTCTTAACAGGGTTGGTCTGTTTATGCTCCAGGCACATTGAGAAAGCTTCACCATTTTTGGCCACCTTTGGCGCAGTTAGAACATTTCTCTCTATCAGAACTTTGACTTTCCATTCTTTCTATTCAGAACCTGCCTAGGGTTAGATCCTGTAAGTTTTCTGGATTTATATTTTTTTCTGGCATAAAAGTTTTCTGGTGTAAAGGTTTTCTCCTGGATACCAGGATGAATGGAGACATCAAAGTCAACAACGGAGCTTGTTATGTTACCAAGAAAAATTTAAAAACTCTTCTATGTGATTATATTGCCATGATTTGAAAGAAACATGTGTAACTGGCCAAAAAGCATCTGTTTATTAGATCAGAGTAGAATCTGAAACTTTTCCTTTTTTAATTTGACTCAACAGGCTTTTGTGAAGGTGTTTAAGACGCTCATGGTGTTGGCAAAATGACTCCCAACCATTTCTTCAGGCTGCTGAGCTTTAACTCATGGCCACATGTCTCTTTGCTGCAGATAGCATTGACTAAGCTGACATTCTGAATTCCAAACAGCAGGTGTCAACCAATGTTTTCTGCAAAGGATCAGATAGTAAATATTTTACACTCAACAGCCATACGGTTTATTTATTTATTTTTATTTGTTTATTTTTTGAGATGGAATCTCACTCTGTTGCCCAGACTGGAGTGCAGTGACTTTTCTCACGGCCACCGTGGCCTTGAACTGCTGAGCTCAGGTGATTCTTTGGCCACAGCCTCCCAAGTAGCTGGAACCACAGGTGCGCACCACTATACCTGGCTGAATTTTTGATTTATTGTGGGTTTGTTTTTTTTTTTTAATTAGAACCTCACTCTGTTATCCAGGCTGGAGGGCAGTGGCACGCTCATGGCCACCATAGCCTTGACCTGCTGGGCTCAGGCGATATGTCCACCTTAGTCTTCCAAGTACCTGGAGCCACAGACATGCCTGGCTAATTTTTCTTGATTTATTGTTGAGGTGAGGTCTCACCAAGTTGCTCTGACTGGTCTCGAACCCGTGGGCTCAGGCAGTCCTCTCACCTCGGCCTCCAAAAATGCTGGGATTATAGGTGTTAGTCACCATGCCCGGCCATATGGTTTATGTTCTATTTAACTTGGCAACTGTGGCATGGAAACAGATGTAGATGATGCGGAAACCAGTGAATGAGGCTGTGTTCCAATAAAATATAGAAGTTATAAATACAGGAGTCCTTCTTGGAGGCCTCTGCACTTGCTCTCCTTTCTGCCTAAATGCTGTCCCCACAAAGATCAACATGGCTTGGACCTCACCTCTCTCAGATTCGTGCTCTAATGTCGCTTTTGCATGTAGACCTTGCTCACCAAATTTATCACTACAATTGTCCCTCTCTCCTGCCACCCCATCACACCTGTAATTATTACTTTATTTTCTTCTACAGGGCCCATAGGCCAGAGGATTTATTTATTTTATATAAACTCCTCAAGGACAGTCATTCATCCATATTGCTTCTCTTGTACTGTGATACCTTTAGTAGAACATTGCCTGGCACATGGTAGATGCTTAGTATTTACGGGATAATAAAGCAGTAAAAAGGCTAGCATTAGACTTTATTTTTTCTTTTAATTTTTCTAAAATAGCAGTTAAAAATGTATATAAGGACTTAATCATAGAAATTGCTGAGCTCAGTAATATGTTAATGGATGAAAAGGTGTAAATAGTGCTGGTATACATTAACAGGGTAATGAGCTCTCAGTGTTTTGTATTTTAATAATTATTTTTCCCTTTTAAAGATGCATACATAAATTATCAAAACATAGCTTAAAAACAAGTAGCTACACACCAGTTTATACTTTTTTTAAAATTTTAAAGATGTGGGGTACAACTCAGATTAGGTACATAAGCAATCATCATACAGGTGAAGTTTGGGCCTCCCACTGGTCCCCACTTCGCCTGGTTTAGGATCAGGTACCCTTAATGATGCACTCTCCCACCCCCGGCAATGTGCTACTGCCAATCCCTTTCTTGTAGTATTGTGATAAATGTTCAGGGTCTGCTTATGAGTGAGAACTTGTGGTACTCATTCTTTGTTTTTGTGATTTATCACTGAGTATGGTAGACTATAAATCCATCCATCCAAGTACTTTTAAAAATAGTGTTTGAAACAGTCTTTTGTTTAATGAGTGACATTAACCAAAATAATAAAATTCATAATCACAACTTATTTCACATGAGTAAGTGTCTATTTGCTTTTCAAATGGAAATGCCAATTTTAAATTAGTGCACGCTTTGTGAAAACTGCCAATATTTAGTTAAGTAAATAATTGTTGAACATCACGTAACAAAAAATACTGAAGCATTTCCCATTTAAAGTATGAAAAGTTATTCAAATATTTGAATGACCTAAATAAAATATATACTGTAGACTAGTGGTTTAAAAAAATTGTATGAAAGAAACTTGGTAAAATGTTGACAGTGGGACTGTTACCAGTGTGTCAAACAGGCCAAAGAAGTTGAAAAACTTAAGAAATGACACTTGTTTTTAAAAATATCTCACTGAGTTTTGATAATTAAAACAAAAACAACAAAACACGAAAAACCCTCCCCAGCCTTTTTCCAGCTGTAATTAATCAGCAGATCTGCATAGATACAAACATGAAAGACAGGATTTGATGTATTCCAGCATTTTCCAAATATGCAACTCAGAAAAGGAATCCTGCAAGTTGTTGTAAAGAAAAGAGAACATGGTAGAATGTGCTATACCTTTTAGAGATGCACAAATTGAAATCCTAAAGAATATCTGCAACAAGGAAGCCCTTTTGACTTTTTTTAATGTACTGTTTTCTAAAGATGTTTGTGTATTCTGCATAATACACTGAGCCTATTTATAAAAACTGTGATGTATATTAAGGTATTGATGTTTTACTACACAAATTTTCGGGACTTTATTTCTTACTCGGCTAAATCCTTCTTTTTAAAATTTAATTATTGTTTAACTGTGGGGAAGACTGATGTGGCAATGGGAGCCTGGGACAGCAGAAGCTGCACGCATGAGGTTAACTCAGCAATTCCCGGTGGAGGAGGACAAGGATGAGCAAGATGTGTTCCTTGTCTTTTTGTAGTTCCCATTTAGGGCAGAAAAGAAATACATACAAATAACAATAAAGCCGAAAGGTGGAGATAATAATCGATACAGAAAGGTCCACAGAGCACAGAGGAAGAGGTTACAGAGGGTTGATTAAGCATTCTTTCAAAGACCTTTTAGGGAGGTCACGTAACAGCTGAATCGCTCTTTGGAAAATGGGTATGATTTTAACTAGTGTTTTTAGATAAAATACTTTTCTGGCTAGAGGAAATGAAAAGACACTCAGGTAGGTGATAATCTGGATAGATTGAAGCCTGAGACAGTGAGCAGGGCTTAAG